GAGGGGAAGAGGGGCCCTTTCCAGAATTGGAAACAACCTGAGTCCTGGAATGCTGAGCAAAGCCATTAGCAGGGTAGTTATCTGAGGAGGTGATGAGAGATGAGGGTGGATCCCAGCCAGGCCCAGACCCGGGGCCTCCAAGGGCAAGATAAGGGGTGAGAGGTGAGAGGTGGGGGGCTGTGAGCAGGGGCGCAAGTCAGTCCTGGGTGCAGAAAAACCCCTCTGGGGCTGCTGGACAGATCAAAGGCCAGGAGGCCCTGGATGGGGCTAAGGGTCCAGGTGGGAGAGGATGAGGCCTGAGCCAGGACCCTGGGGACAGAGAGGACAGTCTGAGCCTGGCAGGCTCTGGACTGAGGGAGAGAGGGAGTGAAGAAGGTGCCCAGAGGTCTGACCCTGATACGGAGAAGAGCCGTGGGCTTGGGGGACATAGTGTGCTCAGTGGGCTATAAGGGATGTGACAGGCTGGGTGACATCAGGGCAGGGACTAGGAAGATGGCTCCAGGGGTCAAGGGCCTGTCCTGGAAGGCAGGAAGTATGTGTGAGCCTAGGGAGGGAAGCAGGTAGAGAGGGGCTTGGGCAAAAGTGGGGTCCCCATTAGGGCTGGGCGGAAATGGGGGAACAGAGGCACAGGGAGGTTGTGGGCTGGGAGAAGCAGGGTGTTTCCCCCACTTGGCCTTAGGCGGGGCTTCACCCAAATAGTAAATCCATCCAGGGACCTAAGCCCTGACCCCAAAGCGGGCAGGGAGCAGGCACTGCTGGCCGCACTCATGAACCCTGGCCTGGCACTGAGGTGGGACGGAGGCTTGGAGGGCTCTGGTTCCCAAGACTTCCAGAGGTCAAAGGGCAACTTGTAGAGTGAGAAGTCAAACAGCACAGGAGAGAAAACAGCTGGGGTCCCAGACACCCCAACTCTGCGGCCCCCACAGCCCACTCTGCCCAGCTTCCTCCAGTTGGGGTGTCTGAACCCAGCTCCCCCTCCGTGTCCCTCTCTTGGTCTCTTTCTGGGTGTTTCTCTTGGTCTCTCTCTTGGCTCGTTTCTCTGAGTCTGTCCCCCTGGGCCTCTGAGGACCCCTCCTCCCTCTGTGCCTGTCGCCTGCCCCCCCCCCAGTCCCAGACAGCCTGGCGGAGACTCCCGAAGTGCTTCTATTCTGGGCCCTGAGTGACCTCCCCAGGTGCCTTGCAGCTGTGGCCTAATATGGTCCCAGT